ATTCAAGCGGCTGCTTCCGAGATGTCTGGTAAGAGAGCTCTCTCTGCTGTCGCCGATTCTGGGAAGAGGTCGAAGCCATCGGGAGGCGCATGTGCAGATGTTGGAGGCTCGCCAGCGACGTTTACCGACCAGTCGATCTCGCCAGACGTGGCCCTCAGCGGTGACGTGAACAAGGCGTGCACTGCCAAGTTCGAGCCGATGCTCTCTAAGGTCATCAACGCGTTCGATGGCATCCAAGGCAAGCACCCTCTATCCATCGAGGCAGGCGGCACCATGGATCCGATTTCTCAGTCCAGCGTCTCGCTCGCCATGAATACCGAGAAGGGCGTCGTGAGCGGTGCTGGAAACCTGTTCTGGCAAAACATTCGGTGGCGCCCCTCGCCTAACGTGCCGATCAACGAGACGGGCATCACAGATATCAAGTTGCACTCTTTCAAGACGCCTCCAGCCGAGCTCAATTTCAACGTGCACGTCGCCTTCGCCAAGGAGATGGAGCTGTCTGGCTCGCTTGGCAACCTGCATCGCATATCCCCGGAAGAACCTGTGCACGCGCTGCTGTGGGGCATCTCAGACGCCATCGACCGCAACGCGAAGTCGAACGAGTTGCGCGCCTGGGAGGAGCTGCTACTGAACGTGCCCTTCGTCTTCGAGCGTTTCTCTAACGCCGACGCGATTGTGAAAAGATCTATCGACCTGCGCGAGGAGCTGACTACCCAACTTGACGCAATTAAGAGAACCCCATTTGCCAGATTCCTCGAGATCGTCAATATCCGGCAGGAAATGGAACGCACGAAAGGCAAGGTCACGACAGATATGCTCTTCAATTTCTTCAAGACTGTAACATTCTCCAAAAAGAGCGACAAGATCTCGAATAACCTCTTGGAGAATGTCAATGCGGTATGGAACAAGTGGAAAGCTGACCCATCAACCATGCAGATTGTGCAGGAAGCGAACACGCTCTACGGCAACGAGTCGCCCTTCAGCGGCATTCTCCAGATGTATTTGCTCTGCAACAAGGCTGGGAAAGACGCGAAGCTCATGAAATGGGTGTTCGCGAGCGCCTTTGATGCATACCGCTCCGGGGCAGCGTCGAGAGACGACATGAATGCTCATAAACTTCAAGATGGTAAGCGCGTGGACGTTGTCGACGTGTTCGTATTCAAAAAGACCCTTCTGTCGGAACTGCTCGGGGACGAGCTGCAGAGGCTCCACTTGCCCGTGAATCAAGTCAAGTTGTTGCAGAAATACTACGAATCCCACGACACGTACAGAAACGCGTGCGGCTTCAACGACCCGGTGGCGGCAAAGTTCGACAAGACGATCAGCTTGGCTTGGCAGACGGAGATGACCAAGGCCACTCTGAAATACAGCCAGCTCATCGAGATGACGATCTACTCCTGCCACTTCGACGGGGTGATTCGCCAATGCCTCAAGAACAGCAAGAGCGCCGAGGACACGCTGAGGCATGGGTCTCTCGGGATCGAGATGCAGAAAGTGTACGACGTGATGGAGGCCGAGAAATCTGTGCCAGCAGCAGCAGCCCCTGCGGCAACGGAGGATTGTGGCCTGAAGATGTGGTCGCGGGGGATGTGGTCCCAAACGTCCAATTGGCCCTTCGGATGGCCCTTTTCGAAGAAGCCGTTTTTTTTTTTTTTTTTTTTTTTTTTTTTTTTTTTTTTTTTTTTTTTTTTTTTTTTTTTTTTTTTTTTTTTTTTTTTTTTTTTTTTTTTTTTTTTCCTTCTTCCCTCTTTTCAGGTGGTCTTCAAAGGGCCCTCGGGACAATGCCCTGAGACCGCATCTTCGAGGCCATGTGGCCCAAGGATGCTGGAGATGGCAGCCGCGGTGAAGCTGCCGACGGCGATGCAGATGCGGATGTCGACGGTGGGCACGTCTTCGAGGGCGACGAGGAGGCCGACTCGAAGGCGCGGTGGAGAGCATATGCGACACGCCTGGTCAAACTGAGAGTGACATTGATCGTGGCGCCGAACAGCGAGAAGCGTTTCATCGACCTCCTTCGAGATGCTGGCATCAATTCGGCCAAGTACGAGAAGGACGAGTACCAGGGGATCATCTACAACAGCAAGACTGAGGGTGAGGCGAAGTCCAATCCAGCTACTCGTACTCCGAACCACCGCACAGCTTACATGCAGAAAGCGATTTCTTCTTGCCTCCGTGCCATCGCGGGGCCGCGCTCCGATGAGGATTCGGATCAAGTCAGCGTGAGTCCAGACAGGATGTATTTCTTTTTGGACGCGTTCAAGCACGGCCACTCTACTGGGTTCTTGAACTCGTTCTCCATCGACGACAGAAAGCTCGACAAATATAGCGCCATCTACTACATCACCTATGAGTGGTCGTCGCTTCAAGCTCGCCGCCTGCGCGTCCACGACGATAGCCCCGTCGACACGGTCGAGTTCATGCACGTGGTCACTGAGGGCCCGCTCCATCTTCCGCCCAAACAGAGGTTGACCAATGATACGAGCTCCAACAAATGCAATTTCATCGGACCAGTCGTGACGGAGGACGTGAACGAATCGTGGCAGCTGACCTACTATGACAAGAAGAATCTGCTCGGGGACGCTCGAACACCAAACGGTGGCCCGGCGCCCGGAAAAGCTGAGCCAGCCCGCCGTCACGATGCAGACTTGGAGCTTGTGGCTTACCACGGTAACGGGTATCTCTTCTACAGCGAGTTGGTGCACTCTTTCGGCCTGACCTCAATTGTGCACCTGACCCCCCTTGATGACAAGTGCGGCCTCGCAGCCATAGCTCACAAGGCATCGTACATCGGCGTGTGCTACACCGAGGAGCACGCGACAAGGCTCATGGATCGCCTGATTGACCTGACCTACAACGCCCTTTTCGATCCCCATATGGACGGCATCTACGAGCCCTCTGCAGTCGCGGACATGACGCCGCCAGATGAGGATGACGACGACAAGCCGAAGTCGAAGCCGAAGGGCGATGGGGAGAAGACCACTGATCTGGACGGCAAGGGCAATCCAGGCACCGCGAAGCCCAAGAAGGAACCCAAGAAGAAGGCCAAGCGGAAGCCGACGAAGCCCACTGTTGAGGATGGCGACGCGGCTGCGCGGCGCTGGAGAATCTCCTGAACGGGCTGGATGACCCTGGCCAGGACGCCGAGCTTGATGGGCTCGGGGAGTCGGCGTGAGTGAGATGTTTGCACAGCTGCTGGATATCTTGGGCTTACGTGCCAACTGTCGTGGCATTTCTGCCCATGATGCATGATGCGCCTTTGGCGCGTGCGAGGCGAGTTTCTACTCAGTCTGTATGCTCGCTCGCGCAGGTGCGTGCACGAGACTGCAGGCAGCGCAATGTATTATTTCCTCCACCACCGCGTTCACTTCCACCACCCCCCCCCCCCACCCTTAGCCTCATTCAGCTTCATCTTCTCCTCTCTCCTTTCGCTCGCCCGCCTCCCGGCCGATGTCATACCGCCCTCGTCCTCCCGGGGCTGCCCCGGACAGCCGAGGCGGCGCGATCTGGCCCTGCCTCAGCTCGGCGTCGGCGAGTGGACAGCAAGATGGAGTTGCTTAGCATGTAGGATGATGAACCCTGATAAAAGCGGAACAATGCAAGATTATCCCAGCGCGACCCTACCTAGGAGTTGAAGCATCTAGGAACGCAACATCTACATCTACACCGACAGCTACATTGACATCTACACATGCATTTACATCTACATCAACATCAACAGCGAGACTCACATCTACATCTACATCCACATCTACACCTACACCTACATCTACATCTGCATCTACACCTACATCCACATCTACATCTCCACCTACATCTACATCTACATCTACACGTTCGCATGTGTTTTGCTGTTGCGCTGCATGCTATGCTATGCTGTGCTATGCTATGCTGTGCTGTGCTATGCTGTGCTAGTGCTGCGCTGCGCTACGCTGCGCTAAGCTAAGCTAAGCTAAGGTAAGCTAAGCTATGCTTCGCTATGCTGTGCTATGCTATGCTGCGCTATGCTGTGCTATGATATGTTATGCTGCGCTATGCTATGCTATGCTAGGCTGTGCTATGATAAGCTATGCTGCGCTATGCTATGCTGAGCTATGCTATGCTATGCTGTGCTATGCAGTGCTGTACTGCGCTGTGATATGCTAAGCAATGCTATGCTATGATATGCTGCGCTATGCTGAGCTATGCTATGCTATGCTATGCTGAGCTATGCTATGTATGCTTGGCTATGCGATGTTTTGCTATAGTGTGCTAATGCTGCGCTGCGCTATGCTGCGCTGCGCTAAGCTAAGGTAAGCTATGCTAAGCTAAGCTAAGCAGAACTAGGCTAGGAGAGGCTCAGCTAAGCTAAGCTAAGCCAAGCTAAGCTAAGCTAAGCTAAATTAAGCTAAGCCTAGCTAAGCTGAGCTGAGCTAATCTAAGCTAAGCTAGGTTAGGCAAAGCGGGGGATCCTGGGGGAAGCGCGGGGCGGATGCCGGGGGAACCGCCCAGGGTGGGTTCCACTGCCCGGCCCTTTGAGCTCACCGAATAATAACCCTTCTAGGCAGAGCCGATGTAGGGAATACGGTGCAGAGCAGCAATATTCAAATCAAACATTGCAGATTGGGGGGCACCCACGTCAAACCAAACCTGGAGCACCTCAAAAAGCCCAAACACCTAGGGGTATATCAAAATAACCATGCATGTAATGAGGGGCCCCGTTCAACCATTGATGTTGAAACCAACATTGAAACGCATCGGTCCTCCTTCAAGAGAGGGGGATACGGAAGATGAGGAGAATAATGATGAGGGGGAGCAGCAGCAGCAGCAACAAGAGGATGAGCCACGTTCTTGTGGATTCGCCTTTTTGGCGTTGGGGAAGGCGCCTGAGCGACCAACCAACTGCAAATGATACCGTGTGAAACCTGCGTGCAACTCAGAAGTCCCAGACTGGTTGTCCTAGCAGCTTCCGTATATAGCCGCCCCCTCTCAAGCCTGGGCCATATTGAAGATTTTTTGGCAGCATGCCTGCCAAATCGGCGCAGCAGAGCCCTCGGGCGCCGAAGGCCAGCCCCAAGGCCAGTCGGAATGCAACCCGCTCACGGTCGCCGCGTCGTCGACGCATCCGTTTGTTCTCTGACTGTTCGGGCATGTCGTCGATCAGCCACGCCTTCTACGGCCTCGGCCTTCGCGACGACTTTTGGTGCACGTGGGAGCTTGCGACAAGGACACGACCGCCAAGAAGTTCTGGATGAACAACTACGGAGAGACTCGCTGGTACGACGACATCTTCGGGCGCAACTATCGGGCCATCATGAACCAACCATTGACACCGAACGTCTACGAGTGCGGCTTCCCGTGTCAGCCCTTCTCCGTTGGCGGGAAAAAAAGGCAAATCCGACGCACGTGGACGAGTCATCGACGAGGTCTTCCGCGCGCTCGAGGGGATGACGCCAGATCTTTTCATTTTAGAGAACGTCGAGGGCCTGCTGATCCATCGTCCCAATACATTGGCAGCCATCGTGAAACGCTTGCGCGAGCGAAAGTCTGGCTACTACAATGTGCACCTTAAGTTGCTCAACTCAGTGGACCACGGGGTGCCCCAGAACAGAAAGCGACTGTGGTTTGTGGGCATCGCGAAGAAAATCGACAAGAATACGTTCACTTGGCCAGCGGACATCGGCAGCGTCAAGATCGACGACTTCCTGGATCCCGGCGTGAAGGAGGTCGCGAAGAGCATGCCTCCGAAGAGCTCTGCGTTCGCCTGGCAGAGCTTCCTGAAGCTCATGAAGGATGCCGTTGCGTCGGGGCTGAATCCACTCAAGGAAACCCTGGTGATGGACATTGAGTCTACTAAGCCTGGGTGGATGGTGGGTAAATCCCCTTGCCTGACGCGCTCCAGGGCCGAAGGGCGTTTGGGCGCATGGGTAAGATGGACATGAATCCACACAAGATGGGCCAGTTGATTGGGAACGCGCAGAGCGCGAACGTTTTGGAGCGCATCCTGTTCCAGGCGCTCCCGGCCGCAGGCATCATCCCGCAGAGCGAACTCAAGGGTCGCTGGGAGACCAGAGCTGCCGCCGCGAAGACGGTGGCTAGCTTTTCGAAGTGATGCGGCTGTGGCCGCGAGCCGAGCAATACAGCAGCTCGACGTGTCCAGAGGCTGTGAGCCTCTCTGCTCAGCACGCCCAAGCTCCTCAGACTTTCTAAGAGGGAGGCGAACGGGAAGGGGGTGGAGACTTCCTCGCCCTTTCCTCTAAGTGCGAATCTGTTGCGGATCCACGCGCTGGCGATCATGTTTGGGGTCCACGTTTGCTCCAAAAGTGGCAAACTGCCCCGTTTTGGACGCGCAGATGACTCGTCGCTGCTGCTAGACGTGGCTAAGGGGTTGATTCCGAAGTTCTGGGGGGATCACCCCTGGATATGAAGGGGTGACCCGGTAAGTGCATTCGAGCCGGTTGTTCATCGTTCCAAGGGGGCCAATTTCGATCGGACACCCGTCATTTCTCCCAAGTGGGGGGTCTGCCTGCGCGTGATTTGTCAGTTGTCGGCTTCTGCTGCTGCTGCTGCTGCTGCTGCATGCTGCTGCTGCTGCTCCATGCTGCTGCTGCCCGCACGGTTCCAGGCGGCCCCCAACGGCTCCCGAGAGGCCCCCGAGAGCGCCCCAAGACGCCCCCAAGAGCGCCCCAAGAGGCCCCCAAGAGAGCCCCAATATTTTTGTTGTTTCCCTACCTAGGCTCTGCCTAGAGGGTTCTTACTCTCTTAGCTTAAAAGGCCGGGTAGTGGGTCCCGCCCCGGGCGGTTCCCCCAGTATCCGCCCCGCGGTTCCCCCGGGGGCGTCCCCTTAGCTTAGCGTTGTTTATCTCATCTTAGCTTAGCTTAATTCATTTTGGCTTAGCTTAGCTCCATCTTAGCTCAGGTTTATCTCAGCTTAGCGTGCCTTCATCTTAGTTTCGCCGAGCTTTAGCATAGCACAGCACAGCATAGCAAAGCAGAGCGTAGCACAGCATAACATATCATAGCGTAGCGCAGCATAGCATAGCATATCATAGCGCAGTACAGCACAACACAGCATAACACCGTGCAGCACAGCAAAGCGTAGCACAGCAGAGCATAGCATAGCAATTCATGCTGCTGTTCTAGGGGCTCCAACTTCTAGGTAGGGTCGCACTGGGGTAATCCTTTGACACCTCTGGGAGCTTTGGCGGCCCCCAAGACGCCCCCAAAGGCTCCCAAGAGGCCCCCGAGAGGCCTTCAAGGGCCTCCGAGAGGCCCCCAAGAGGCTCCCGAGAGCGGCCCAGTAGGCCCCCAAGAGGCCCCCAGGAGCGCCCAAGTGGCCCCCAGGGAGCCCGCAATACTATTCCAGCACATGTGACGGATATCAGAATTTCTAAGATTTCGGGGGGCCGCCGCTTTCGCCCCCTGTTTTGAACCCTTTTTGGCGCGTCGCCGCGGCTTGTTTTATTGGCCTAAGCCGCCCCCGGCCCGCCCGGAGGGGCGTCCAGAACATTTGCTTTTTTGGGGATTCATTCGAAAAAACCAATTGTTTCGGCAGGCCCTGCGAATCGTGGAAGCGGGGGCCGGGGGTGCCCAAGACGGCCAGACAAGGACACCAACGTCGCCAAAATGCGGTCTTGGAGGCCCCATGGTGGCCCCAAGGGGCCGCGATATTCCCCCAAGAAGGCGCCGTGTGGCTTCAATGGTTTCCAAGACACTCTTGGGGGCTTTCGGGGCCTGCATGCGTGCTTTTTGGGGGCCTCATGGTGGGCTTCTTGGAGCCTTATGGGGCCATGTCGGGGGCGTTTTGGGGCCCTCTTGGGGGCTTCCGGGGGACCTACGGGGCCATCTTGGGGGCATGTGGGGGGCCTTTCGGGGATATGATGGTATCTGGGGGTGGTTTTGCCCCCTGTCCAACGACTTGTGTCGTGCGAAGCCAAAGTGATTTGCTCATGAGATGGTTTTGCAATGCGTCAAAAGCTTTATTCATCGCCGATGCGGGGCGTTGTGTTTGAAGCTGGGTTGTTATTGTTGGAGGACCCCCCCTCGCGTGGCGCCGTTGGAATCGTTAACTATCGTTCCAGGGGGCGAGTTAGTGTTAGTCAGGTTTTTCATTCCTCACGGCTGAGGGAAGGCCGAGTGTTTCGCGATTTATGTTTTATTATTCAAGCTTGCTGCGACCAGGGTCCAGCGTCGTATTGCCGGGGGTGATATGGGGGGAAACGATGCCGATGTCGCTATCACGTCGCCTACACTATGGCTTCCCGGGAATACTAGTTCCCCTTCGCTGCCACGACTGGAGTCGCCTCTGAGTTCTGAGTTATGGTCCGAACGCGCCCCAAGAGAGATTCGATGGATAGCGATATCAGATATCGGCACGATTGCGCCCCTTAAGATGTCTCGTCTTGCTTAGCTACCCCCCAGTAGTATCCTACCTCTTCCCCCGAGGTACTTCGCATCCTGGTCCCCTCCATCACCAATTCATCTTTCTGCCGAATCACTAGGCCGCGTTGGGGGGTGCGCCTTCTCCCTCTCACTTCTCTCCTAAACGTGATCAGACTCACTTCTCACTTCTCCTTTCCTCTCCTCCTCACTTCTCCTCCTCCTCCTCCTCTTCTCCTCACGCGTCTCCTCCTCACTTCTCAAAACTACAGCGCGACGTCAGAGACGAAGAAAACACATTCCCCCACCTGCTGCCATTTCGGATCGGGAAAATGTTCAGGATTCCGGTGAAACCCTCCTCTGTTCTTCTTGGCCAGAGTCCTGGCCGAATCCACGATGCCGCCCAAAGTAGCGTTGCCGAATCCACAGTTCTTGGCCCGGGCGCAGCCGCCGATGAGGCGTCGCTTCAAGAAGATGTTTCGCGATCTCATCTTCTATCCAACTGCCTTCGGCGAATCCCGCCACTGTGCCTGCGCGGCTTTCACGGCCGTCTTCGCGGGGCTTCAGGTGACATCATGGGCCTCCTCAACCGCCAGCCCAGCCCGTCTTGGGGCTGGGATGCCTTGTGGGCTGGAGGTTGAGAAGGTCTAGTCGTTCCCCCCCCCCCAGGGAAATGCAGGACAATTCCAAGACCGCGGTCAGAGGGGCCTAGCAATGCAAATACCTGATATTGCCACGAACCTCGACTTTGGAGGGCTCGCGGGCGTGAGTTGCGAGAAAGCGAAACACAGAGAAAATGGAGCCCATAAGGCATGTCGGAGCGTCTCCGACCACCTTGGCGCTCTCCTGGGCCGTCTTGGGGCTCGCTTGGGGGCCTCTGGGGGCTTCAACTTCCCGGGGCCCTCCCGCGCGCTTCTTGGAGGGGCGGGGGGGGAGGGGGGGGGGAGAGGGGGGGGAAGGGAGGAGGATAGTCAATATGTACAAACAGGACACGTGGAAAATAGTACCACTCTCGTGTCCTGCGAAATCTTTGTCCAAATGAGTCTAAGTTATTATCTAGTGGCCTTAGGTCGTAAGGATCGCAAGCAGGGTCGGCGTCCTTATTGCAAATCATGGGGGTCGGTGGGGTGCACAGGGCCCGGGGCCAGAGTCGGCCCCCATTTACGCTGCCCACGCTTTCGCGATATGATTCTGTTATAGAATGACAAAGTCGACCCCAGGTAAGTTGACGAGGTCGACCCCCGGTAAGTTGAAAAGGTCGACCCCCGGTAAAGTGACAAGGTCGACGCCCGGTAAAGTGATAAGGTCGACCCCTGGTAAGTTGACAAGGTCGGCCCCTGGTAAGTTGACAAGGTCGACCCTTGGTAAGTTGACGAGGTCGACCCCCGGTAAGTTGACAAGGTCGACCCCCGGTAAATTGACAAGGTCGACCCCCGGTAAATTGACAAGGTCGACCCCCGGTAAGTTGACAAGGTCGCGTCATCTTGCAGACCATCTTGGGGTCGTCTCTGCCTTCCTGGAGCGGTTCTGCCAGATGGCGGCCGAAGTAAATCTGCGAAGTTCCGCCGACTTCCGCCGACTTCCGCCGGCGTTGCGCCCGCGGTCCCCCACAGACCCCCCAGGGGAACACGCGACGGGGACCCCTCCGCCAGGTCCGGGAAATACAAAACTGCTCCTGAGCCCCCAGAGGTAGGCCCAACAGGCCCTTCCTCCTAAAGGAATACCCAGACGGGCCCCCATTCCCCCCGGAGGAAAAGCTCGAGGGCTTGCTCGGGGGGAAACCAAAACACCGTTTGAGCCTTTGGCTGCAATGTCCTACAGGGTCTCGTTCCCGAGGCTCGTTCCCCTGGGGCCCGGGGGCTACGCCCCGGGGTCGTTCCAGCGGGGTCTGCTTCCGCGAGGCGGGGGGGGGGGCGTTCAGAGGGGCGGGCCCCGCAGGCCGTCGGAGAGAGATCGCTCTGAACATATATGTAACCCAGCACTGTACAGATTCCATATTTGTCCAAGGATGTCTTAGGCGAAATGGCCATGGTGGAAATTCCAAGGAATGGGCCGGAGATTGCGAAATCGCAGTTTTCTGAAAATGTCTCAGGCGAAACGCTAGTTCTTAGCAGAAGGCGTCTTAAGGTGAGGATGTCTCGGCGAAACGCCCATCCTGGACGGCAACTAGACACCCTGCCATACAGCGCCTGGCATTCTTGTACGCCTCAACGTGCCAGGGGACACGTGGCGGTCAAGAGTCAGGCTGCGCTCTACAAAGCCCGTCTGAAAAAGCTTCGGACAGTGCTGAACCGACTTGACGACGCTGCCGCCGATGCCCTCACCGAAGATGACAGGCTGAGACAAGAACAGAATGATGTGCTTGACTACATTGCGAACCTCCCGTTGCAATGAACTGGGGCCTGGTGCACGATCTCTCCCCTTTCTCAGCTCTTTCATAATTACCTTTGCTCTCTTTCCCTCTCTCTCTCTCTCTTTCTCCGGCAGCTGTGCTTACCGTGCTTCGCAGCTCTGCAAAGAGTCGCTGAAACAATGCTACTCCAAGGCTGCCGCCTGCGCCCCCACCCGGGGGTTGCCGCAATTCCGCCGATGTTGGGTGTTGCTTTGGGGCCTCTCTTGGAGCCATCTCTGGGCTTTCGTGGGGTGTTCTTTAGGTGTATGTGGTTCTCGGGCACGCCCATCCTTGATTCCCTTTCACGTGGCCACTTTGAGCCATATCGGACACCTTATGCG